AGAACTCATTGAAGGCTTTTTAAAGAAAAAAATGATTGCGTGAAAACCAAATTGATCAATTTAGGGCACAATAGCTAACTTGTTCACAAGTGTGCTCGAATCGCAACTTGGATATTCAAAGAAACAATTAAAGCACTATAATCACAGTGTGCTGTAGTGGTTATGGTGTTAGGAGTCTGTTGGAACCACTCTCCACCTTCTCTTGGCACCGAAAAAATAAAAGAACCACAATGCAGTGGTTATGGTGCTTCGAGTGCTCTTTTAAGTTTGAATTTTCTAATTCCATGTTCACTGCACTGTTTAGTGAATAAATCATTAGGTCAGCTATTTTGATCAAAGTTTGACAATTCTCTTCTATTACAAATAGATTTACTGCATTATCCACTAAACTCAGTTTTTAAGTTAAAAATCACTATTGGCTCTTTAAAAGCAAAATGTTGGAGACGGCTTTACTGTCTCTGAAATTTACAACACTGGCCAATTTAACTGAATACTGTATACTCTAATCAGACCCCATCAAACCATCCCAAATGTCTTAAAAAGAGCCTCCGATAGACCTAGAACTGCTTAGGAATGTATTACTGGGAGATTAAGGTAGTACTGTCACCCCCATTCCCTACAAAAAAAAATTATATTTCATAAAGATGCAATCTTTATGAAATACTCATACTGACTGTTTTGTAATTTCATTGAAATTCTTAACTAGAGATGTCGCGAACACTCCTACTTCCTGGACAGCATCCATGTTGAAGCAGCTTCAACATGGATGCTGTCCAGGAAGTAGGAGGGCCTGGGAGGGAGGGTCTGCTGGAGATTGGCCGGGATGTGTCAGCTGACCGGAGTTCGCCACGAACAGTTCGTGGCGAACCGTGGCGAACCGTTCGCGAGAAGTTCGCGGACGGTTCGCGACATCTCTATTCTTAACCAGTCAAGAGATATACAGAGACAGGGTAAGGACAACTTTGTCTTTGTATATAATCTTCGCCGGACACTTCTACAGACTGGACGGAGCTACAAATGTTAAGCTCCGCTGTCTCGCTGGATCCTCCATAATCACAAAGCGTTTCACCCATAGGCTTTCTCAAGAGATCACTTAAGAAAGCCTATGGGTGAAACGCTAGTGATTATATAGAGGACTTTGTTATCTGTTTTTATTTTGTGTGGTATATTACAATAAACAGGCGCGCCTGTATCCAAATGCTTCATTGAGGGTTTCTCCAACCACCATGGACATTTTCTCTTTTGATCATGGTGGTAGAAGTCTGTACACATGACTTGATTTCCCATAAGGCCACGGTTTTGGGGACGGCACACTGGGGTTTGGCGACACTGCTGAAATCCTGTATTGTTGGTGGTACAGTAGTAGTGCTAGCGCAAGAAGGAGAATAGCTCTTTGCAGGAATTGCAGGAGAGTGTGCGGAGAAGACGGGTCCCCAACCCCCGGGCTGCGGACTGGCGCCGGGCCACAAGAATTTATTGCCGGTCCACGGAAGCTTTCACCCAACTATACCATTGGGTGAAAGCTTTTGCGGACTGGCAATAAATTGCCACAAGATATTTCCCTGGTGCTAGAGTTTACTCTCACCACTGGGACCACTAGGGCTTCCCCACCGGACCACCAGGGATTGCAGGAAATGTCCCCCCACCCAGAAAAAGGTAAGCAGGGAGCGGGGATATCAAAATTACTTCTTTTTAAAAAAATTAAAAACAATATATATTTATTTATTAATCTACCCTCCAACCCCACAGACCCACAATCATTCTCCCCTATACACACACACTGCCCTCCATTCACACACACACACACACACTGCCCCCATATACACACACTGCCCCCACAAGGTCTGTTTCGAGTCTGGAAGCACTCTACTGTTTTACCTTGCAGCACTAAGTGCAGAGGGACACTGCACCTAGACCACTTCAATGAGCTGAAGGTTCTGGCCTTTAACAAATGGGGAAGGGGGTAAATAAGAGGAGAACAAGTGAATGAGGGGACAAAAGTGTAGAACATGCGATTGAAAGGGAAGATTGGGGGCACAAGGGAGAAAAGAGGAGAACAATTGTGTGAAGCATGGTGGCAGAGTGGAACAGGTGATATAAGGAGGAGAGGGGTAAGGTGAGGGATTGGGATAAAGAAGAGGGAACAGGTGAGAAATGGGGGGAAAGCAGTAGGAAACAAGCGAGGGAAGGGGGGACAAGAAGAGGGAACAATTGGAGAAAGGGAGGGCTATGGTGAGTGAGGCATTATTGGGGAAAGGTGGAGAGGAACACATCTGAGCGGGAAAAATATATTATGGAGAGAGATAAAGAAGGGCAGATAGGAATTGAAAACATAGCACACAAACACACCTATACATGAACACTAAAACGTCAAACAAGTATGATCCTGCATGCACACACTGGCACTCTATAAAAATACAGCACTACATTCACACACTACCACTCTACACAAATACAGCCATCATTCACACACACTCACTAACATTCCCACAAATACAGCCATCATTCACACGCACTCACTAACACTCCCACAAATACAGCCATCATTCACACGCACTAACACTCCACACAAATACAGCTATCATTCACACACACTCACTAACACTCCACACAAATACAGCCATCATTCACATGCACTCACTAACACTCCACACAAATACAGCCATCATTCACACGCACTCACTAACACTCCCACAAATACAGCCATCACTCACACGCACTAACACTCCACACAAATACAGCCATCATTCACACACACTCACTAACACTCCCACAAATACACTCATCATTCACACGCACTCACTAACACTTCCACAAATACACCCATCATTCACACGCACTCACTAACACTCCCACAAATACAGCCATCATTCACACGCACTCACTAACACTCCCACAAATACACTCATCATTCACACGCACTCACTAACACTCCCACAAATACAGCCATCATTCACACGCACTCACTAACACTCCCACAAATACACCCATCATTCACACGCACTCACTAACACTCCCAAAAATACAGCCATCATTCACACGCACTCACTAACACTCCACACAA